GTCCTGCATTAAGAATATCTCATTTTATGTTAAAGTATCAGCATCAAAATATAAACTGACATGTAGAGGAATACGCCTCCAGAGCTTTAAACATTTAATTAATTTTTATTCAGCATTTTCTTTTCAACATCAGTGTCTCTCACATTTACTGTCAGCCTCGTGCACCACTACCTTCATCTGTTGGGAGCTGCTCTGTATGAATTTGTGTTTGTACGGTCTTGTATTCCAGTGCTGGAAAACAAATAAGAAATTAAGGAATGCACTTTTTACTGGCCTCCCAAAAAATGCTGAGAAACCTGATCTCATTCAAAACTCTGCAGCTCAGCTATGAACCAGAACAACGAGGAGAGAGCACGTCAGGCCAGTCTGAGCTGCTCTGCACTGACTTCCTGTTACATTTACAGCTGATGTTAAGCTTCTCCTCCTTGTATACAAAGCCCTACATGGGCTGGGACCGAGCTACGTCGCTAACTCCCTTGTTAACTATTTGCCTCCAAGAACACTGCGATCATCTGCTGCTGGTTTATTGGAGGTTCCCAGAAACAGCTAGAAGGAGATCAGGGATGCAGCCTTTGTCACTGATGCTCCAAAGCTATGGAACACACTACCTGTAGATGTCAGAGAAGCTGCTCGCTAAATATTTTTAACAGAAGGCTAAAAGCGTATCTGTTCACTTCAGACTTTAACTAACTCTGCCATCCTGATACAGATCTGAAAGTCTTTCGTTTTACGCGTCACGCTGCTGCAGCTCTTTTAAAATCTTACTTTATTTTATGATTTATAGTTTTACAACTTTATGATTTTATGAATCAGTTCATCCATGTTTTAAACTGTTTTAAATGCTCTTTCATATTGAGCTGCCTGCCTGTTTTATGTTAATTCTGTCTGTTTTCACATGAAGCACTCAGAGCTTATACTGCCCTCACTGTAAAGAGTAACATCAGGTAAAGATACAGGAGCCTCCTCATCAGTTCAGTGCACAGTGGCTGCACAAAGTACTCTGACCCCGTCACTTTTTGCACTTTACTGTTCATCAATCTGCACTCAACACACTCATCTACACTCCTGTGACTTCCTGTCAACATTAAGAGCTGTCGCCAGGTTTGTGACCCTTGACCTCGTCTAGACGCTTAAGTTTAAAGACGAGTTAATGAGTGATGAGTTTGACCTTGGCAGCTCAGAGACAGTATCGCCCTCTCAGGGCTCAGACGAAGTGACCACACAATCCCGAAACACTGAAGAGGAGAAGAGGACGTTTACTGATTCAACTAGAAACTGTGACTTCCTCTTGGTGCATCCTGTCAGACCAGATGCCAATTTAAAAAAAGCACTGCTCCATAATCTCAGCGAAGTATTTAAGAAGTGAACTCCAGAGAGAAACTGTTTAAAGTTAACAGTCTGATATGTGAAGCTACAGACAGTTAGCGTAGCTTAGCATTAAAGGCTGGAGACAGGTGGAAACAGCCAGCCAAAGGTAACAAATCCACCTGCCAGAACATATAAAGTTCACTGATTAACATGTTCAATGTGTTTAATCTGTACAAAAACCAAAGTGTTGAAATGCAGGACAATGATGTGACGGATCCACTGGTTGCCTGGCAACCTCACAGTGGCAAGATGACAACAGGAAATCACTGCGTCCGACCGATGAAGAGCACTGGACATCAGAAACAATCAGAGATGAATCATAAAACAAGTTGTGACTCGCTGGTGTTCAGGCAGTTCAGGTTCAACATGCAGGAACATTTTAGAGTTTAGTGGCAGCTTTTATCATCCTCCATACTTATCATCATCCTGACAACAGTTTTGTTTCTGAGCACATGGAATTGAGGGTCACTGGTCGGGTTCAAGGTTCAGCTTCAGTGTCATTATACAACACAGGGTTGCACAATGAGGAGCAGCCGCAGCCCCCTGAGCACTGGTCACACATCATTTACTACACAAACAAATATTTTAAATATTTAAACCACAATAAAACAACAACATAAAATCAGCACTATAAAAGTAAAAGTATTCAGCAGTGTGCAAACATTTGGGCACCCCTGTCAAAATATTGTTTACTGTGCACAGCTACGCAGGTAAAAGATGACCTGATTTCCAAAAGGCAAAAAGTTAAAGACACATTTCTTCAATATATTTTAAGCAAGATTCCATTCATTCCATCTTTTTCAGTTTCAAAATAAAAAAAGGGCCTGAAGCAAAAGTTTGGGCATCCTACGCAATCACTACTCAGTAACAACGATAATAATAATGATCAGCGGTGCAGCCGTTATTTCAGAGGTGAGGGGGGCAGATGGTTCTGGAGTGGGATGATTTTTTTTTTAATGATTTATTAAAATTTTCTCTCTCATTCAGCAGCACTTCTCCTCAGCGACTAAGGAACCAAACAAATAATCACAAACACCTGATGACCAGGAAAAGAGGTGATCCTCCGCAGCGGGTAACACAACTTCACTTCTTTAATTAATCATCAACTAGTCCATAGCCATTGGTAGCTTTGTCACCTTCTACCTATGCCAGTCCTCAATGCCTATGTGCAGTTTCACATAGATTGACCACGTCAGTGAGTAGAAAAACGTGGGACAGACAGAATGACTGACTGACAGAATGACACACTGACAGTTTCCGTGATTATGTACAGCATACCATACCATGACTTAGTCATACCAAACATTAGAAAACACCACCAACATTGGTCCACAGGGGGAGCCACAGCGATCGGTCGCATTTTAGCCATTTTGAAGCATTTTTCTGTTGTTATAGCGCCACCCAGTTGCCAATTAGAGTTAAATTTCTCCAGTCACCTTGAGGCGTCCTGTTCTACATATCTACCAAGTTTAGTATAAATCCATATGGCGGTTAGGCCTAGATAAGAAATGAGCTCTCTAGCGCCCCCATTTTGTTTGATGGGGTCAATAATGGAGGGGTCCCCTCAGATTATGTGTGGTCATATGCCTACAAAGTTGCGTGGTGATGGGTGAAACCCTTGAGATGTTATACACCTTTATGTGATGAGCCACGCCCTCCGCAATATTCATTGCCTTATAGAAGCTCAGTTTTAGTAAGTTTTCCAACTTTTGCCAAGAGGGAACTTTAGATATTGGTCCCTAGATTATGTTCACCCAGTTTCATGCAGATCGCTCAAACTTATGACTTAATAAAACAAAAAGTGACATCACATCATAGTAAAACATCCGTCCAATCAGCATTTAGTTTTTGAGAAGTGTACTGTGTACATTTGTACAAGTTTTTTTTTAATCACCAGTAGTTTAACTTGTAGTTAGGTAATATTCCAGTAATATAACAGTACTTCTACTTGAGTACAGATTTCCAGTATTCTCTCCACCACAGCTTAATATCCCTCCTCACCTGTGAAGCCTTGTGACTATCGGTGCTGCTGCTCCGTCATGATCCCTGAACGCTGCCTCGTCCCTCTATCTGTTGCAATAAGAAATATGTACAAAGAAATATTAAGAGTAAATTAAAAACAGTAATTCTGACATAGCTGTGGGGATTCACTTGTCTTATCCTATAAATATTTCTTTAAGCACTTAATATCCTTCCTCACCTGTACCCTAAATTTCTTGGATGAGAGGTGAAACGTCTTCAAGAAGCTCAAGCAAGTCCAGCTGCCTACGAGTTAAAAAGCATGTTCCATCTTTAACCTCGTCCCTTTCAGAGATCAATTTTTCTACTACTCACTGAACTGTTTACAGTAAAGAACATTTTGACCAAGGTGCCCAAAATCTTTCATGCCCATTGGACATTTGTGCCAAATTTGAAGAAATTCCCTCAAGCTGTTCTTGCGTCCATGAGAACGAGATGGAAACAAAGTCACAGTGACCTTGACCTTTGACCATCAAAACTAAGCAGTTCATGGTTGAGTCCAAGTGGACGTTTGTGCCAAATTTGAAGAAATTTCCTTGAGGCGTTCTTGAGATACCATGTTCACAAGCATGGGACAGACAACATGTCTCACTCCAACTTCTTCACATGTCCACGTTTGGTCATGGACTTTCCACGTCCACATATGACGTCCAAGGTACCCTGGGTGTGTTGGTTGTTGACGTTCTGGGACGCCGTGTCAACTTCAGCCTGTTACATGCATTGTCTGTTTTCAAAATACACTTCTGTTTTCACAGGAAATTTAACATAATGTGCAATCTATTTCAAAATAAAAGCACTACATGGGTACAACATCACAAATTGATGTTTTTTTTTTTCCTTCAACAACAAAAACACACGGTTGGGCTAAGAAACAAAGAACAGGGTTTGACTTTAGAATCTTACAGGATGCTAACACCGCTCTCTAAAGGCCGGTATACACTGTGTGATTTTGGGCTGTCCCAGACGAAAAATGGCCATCGTGGGAGAAACGTGGCGATATCTTTGGTCGTGGCTCTAAAACGGTGGTCTTACATCGCACTGTGAGACAGGTTCAAGGACAGCCGTTGTCAACGTCTTGCGACCAAAGATAACCTGAGATAAAATTCTGACAGTATCAGAAATTTAGGATGACTATCTCACAGTGTGACAGCTGCTACGACCGCACAGTTTATAGAGGGCATAAGGTGAAAGTCAGTGTTTGTTGGACCCATCAACCACCGAGTCAGACTTTCGCCATCTTAACTTTGGTCCTTGTCCTGCCGCATTTCCCCCTGAAGCCGCCGGGCACTGTTAAACTATAGCAGCAACTGACAAGTATCATGCTGACATTAAAGGATGCCTTTTTCCGTCAGTGTCTGATACAGGGAGTCACTGCCCAAGCGCCGGATTACGATGACTTCGGAGTGAAACCGGACTTGGACGGACAACCCAAAAAGATATTGCCTCCGTATGCCATGGCTATCACAAACTGTGAGAGAGATGAACTTCAACTCGAGAGAAAATGGATTTTTATGGGGAGGAGCCTGTCGACACTGAGTAAACCAGAGTTGGATCCTGATTGGCTGTTGCCTTCTTCCACCTCCTCTTCCCTGCTCTCATACTGGCTGGTGTACGCCCTGCAACAGCTTTATGAGGAGCTGAAGGGTCGACGCACCACATTCTGCACCGAGAGGAAACACCACAACAGGTAGGACACTCTGAGTGTGTGTGTGTGTGTGTGTGTGTGTGTGTTTGTGTGTGTGTTTACTGAAGGTCTGGGGACAAACATCAGCTCACACAGACACAAACATCCAAAACCTTCAACCATTAAATCTTAACGGTGGTGCTGGAGGAAGTGTTCAAAGTTAAAGTGCTGCACCCAAAACTTATGTCCAGCAAAATTTACTGAAAGTGAAAGTAATAAAGTGTTCCCTGCTGTCATTCTAATGTACAGTTTTAGCCCACTAACTATCCCACTATTGGCAATGGCACTACTGTACTTTCAATAAAGCAATCGTACTATCAATTTCACAGTTTTTCCAGTTTACATTTAGTTTTTCTCTCTCTCTCTCTCGCACACCCAAAAGAATTTGAATTCTGGCATCCTGCTTGCAACTCGCTTAATCCAAACTCCACCCAGTTTCCTCTCTGAGTCAGACTTTGGTCTTGTGTTAAAGTGAAAATAAAATCAATATCCTGTCTGAAATGACCTCAGACTGTTGAATCTGTCCAAACAAAAGACAAACTTTTTAAAAAACTACAAAGACAACAGAAGAAGAAAGACGTTAAAGATTTGGAGGAAGAAAAACAACCTAAACTGATATTTTAACTCAGTTTGACTCATAATCAAATTATTAAAATCAGATAAAGAAACTAAAATATAATTTATTGTTATGTTACTTTATTTTATTTTTTTTCACATTTCAAATATTGTTGTTTCTTATCATCAGTTTTATTCAAAAAGGTGAAAAAAATGCTCAAAAATATTAAATGTTATATTTCTGTCTCTCTTGTGTTTCTGTTCTTGTTAACATGATGTTTTAAATCGTACGTCAGCTGTTGGTCAAACTGCAGTTTTTCACTTAAATAAAGTTTTGGCTGTTTCCGGTCTAGCGGGCGGATACTCTGGATCTGACAGATGCTCGTAAATTCATTGACCGGTTTCAATTTTTATTTTTGTTTCCCAGGTCAACATGTTGTCCATCCCAGATCTGATCAAGAAGAAGAGAGACGGAGGAGAGTTCACTGACGAAGACATCGTAACCTTCATCCGCAGTGTTACAAACAAAACTATACAGGATTGTCAGACAGGTACGAACTGTTGAACTCAAACACTAACACACCGTCCTGAGGTCATTTCATCACCTGCTTCTCCCCTCTTCTTCCTCTGTGAAGGCGCCATGCTGATGGCGATCTGGCAGAAGGGAATGACCGACAAGGAGATCGAGACCCTGACCAGAGAGATGATGCTGTCAGGGGAAGTGATGTCATGGCCGAAGGAGTGGGCGGGGCTGATGGTTGACAAACACTCAACAGGAGGAGTGGGGGATAAAGTCAGTCTGGTGTTAGCGCCTGCGCTAGCTGCCTGCGGCTGTAAGGTACATCTGCCCACACACACATCACACCTGTATGTGATCTGCTCAGAGACAGACGGACATGTTGTACCCACAGACTGTATGGTGACCAAATATGGTCAGTTTGGCTCCACGGACCAATGAGTGATGTCATGGTAGGCACGTCCACTTCTCTGGACAGGGTATGGTCGTATGTCTATGATGTCATAATAACCTGAGGTGTGTGTTTGTCAGGTGCCGATGATCAGTGGGCGGGGCTTGGCTCACACAGGAGGAACTCTGGATAAACTGGAATCAATTCCAGGATTCAACATCCGCCAGTCATCAGCTCAGGTGCAACTAACTATAAAACATGTACAACTCTGTGACGACGTTAGAAAAAATATTTAGCCAAGACAGCAGTGTGGACGTTAGACTGATATATCAATCTGTTCATCCTCTGACTTTTTATTTGTGGCCATCATCTGGTCTAAATTTGTCCAATATGACCACAAAAGAACTGAGATGGTGATAATGGTAAAGCCAAACGTCAGCATGTTGGCACTGAGCTCAGAGCACCATGAAGTCTCAGGACTGTCTTATTGTGAAATCAGCTCAGTACAGCTGCAGAATGAATACTCAGATCTTTAGTTGTTCAGCCACTACCCTGACTAAGTACATGTTTTGTATGATGAGTACTGCAGGGCTCCTCAGTTCAGCTCAGGTCACTTGCTGCCTTCAAATGGGACCTGGCTATCACATGGGAAGACGTGACCATTATTAACGAGAGCAGCGCTGCGAGGCAACAGCAACATAGTAGTTACAAACCATCCACCAACACATGAACTTCTATGGTGTTCGCCATTTCTGTCAGCAAATGTCGAGCCCAGTGATGCAGAAGCAGTGCCGATCACCCGGGTAATTTCATACCACAGAACTCAAACTGAGCAACTTTCATAGTAATGAACTGGGCCGCACCTTCAACGCTGTATCCAGGTCTCTCAATACATCCATGGTTCATATGGACTTTTCTCCCGAACACATGAGAGACATCCACCTGCAGAGCTGGAGAGCTGCTGTTTTAGATGTGCGCATGCACGAGTTACAGAGCCTCAGTTTTATGATGTACAGACGGAGATTGCTAAATGTATATTTAAGATCCTTGTTGTAAAAATACTGTTAGCCTTGTGTTGAAAACTGCTTGCTTGAAGTGGAAGTATTAAACTTTTCCACGAGCTAGCACACTTGCTCACTAGCTAACGCTGTCTGCCTGTCAACATAAAGGTGCGCACACACCAAACCGACATCAAAGAACTAGCGGTGACGAAAGCCAACTGTTGCGTCGTCTACGTCGCCTCACGTCGCCCTGTGTCAGTTGCATTTGAACACACTACACGGACTACATCCGACGGCCAAGTAGCACGTACGTTCTGCTCCTGCGTGAGAGAGAGCGGAGTGAGAGAGTGGTACATCCTGTCAGCCGAGGGGTTTCCTATCTGTGCAGCCGAGCACCGCAGCACCTCCACGGACTATTACATCCAGACGGTCCCGGTGTTTCCTCCGCAGGCTCCACTTCACTCAGCTGCCCGATAAACCCGCTGCTTCTTCCCACTTTAACCTGAATAACAAACCAGGGCTCGGTGCTCCGGTTGGATCCAAACGGAGAGCCGGGGCTAGCTCAGAGACTAGCGGAGGCTAACTGGCTGTGCTTCCCTCCGGTCATGCTGCGGCTAACGCTCCACTAGCCGCTCCCAGCTAGCTCCGGTTTGTTATTCAGGTTAAAGTGTGAAGAAGCAGCGGGTCTGTGGGGCAGCTGGGTGAAGTGGAGCCTGAGGAGGAAGCACCGGTTAGCCCCGGTTTCACTACAGGCAGATTCACTCGCTACAGGGGCGAGGAAATAAAACCTGAACAGCCAATCAGAGTGATCTCTCTCACCAACAAGCTCCGCCGACGATTCAACATGCTCAATCGGCCGAAAAGCCGCCTACGCCTAAGGGCCGATGGTGCGGGACAAACCGCAAAAACTAGGGCGACAGACGTTCACCGATGGCCCGACTTTGGTCGACGGCCGACCGTCGGCTTGGTGTGTCAGGACCTTAAGACAGAAAATGCCATCTTTCATCACAGTCCATTTTAGGAGGACCACTGAAGGAAACATGTCCTTTTTTAAAATTATCAAACAATGGATCATAGATGTTTGTTTCTGGCTGCAGCGTTAGCTCGCTGAAAAGTTTTCTATTTCCACTGTAGACGTTGCCATCTAATACTTTGACTTGGATTAGTCCACTGTCCACTAGTCCCTGTCCACCCGTCCGGAGGACAGGGACACGAAACCCCCAGGGAAAAATCTGACAAGGCCCTAAGCAGCCTCCAGCAAACCCAGCAGACACAGGCTGTGCACTGCTCTGCTGATAGAAGAACCAGAGGGAGGGCGGGACATCGGCAGGACGTCGGCGGGGTCTGTTGCTGTTCATCCAGCTTCCACAGACCCCTGGACATGGAGCTGTGGACTGTCATTTGTACCCCCGGGGGTTTCATGGCCCTATTTCCCGGACAGGCAGACTTGTTCCTCCAGACCATCCAACCTAGCACTGACACTCAAAGTATCAAGAGACGGCAACGTTTTTTAATCAACATTTTGAAGTGGCAATAGACGACTTTTCAGCTAACTCAGCTAGTGTGCTAACTACACTAGCTAATACTGTCAGCCAGAAACAAACAATGATTTGATTTATTGTTCGTTAATTGTCAGATAATTTAAACAAAGAACATGTTTTCTTGCAATGGTCCTTCTTAAATGAGGAGTGGTTGAAGTTACTCCATTATGACTGGGAAGTTGATTTGCAGACGCTAGCTAGTGTTAGCATAGCTAGCTAGTTGAAATGTTGACTACTCCCACTACTAAATAAAAACTAATAAGTGTTTGACTGGTTAGGGATTGTGAGCCTCTGATTGGCCACTTTAAAAAATGACTGACAGATACCACACCCTCTGAAACTTGTGCATGCACACATTTAAAACGACGGAACACTACAAACATGACCTCATCTGAAGGCGGCAGCTGTCGGACGAAGAACAAAGTGCTAAATTGTGCAGAGAAAGAAGAGCTGCAGATGAATCAGAGCTGCATGATGGTCTATAAACTGTCTGTAAATAGTAAAAAATGGCCATCACAAACTCCTGGAATCAAAGGTGACGTCTGACCATCAGGCCAAAGATATTTATTTTATATAATCACAGAATCACGTGATTCAATTACTTAATTCTAACAGCAGCGTTTATTTGACCTCCACGTGGTTTGGTTCCTAAAATGTTTGGTTTATTCACGACAGTGGAGATAACGGCAGTGACAGAGGAACTGAGACATAATCACTCATGTTAACCAGCATGTTTGAATGTTCGTCTCATGACAGCAGGACTTTGGCTCCACATGTGTTGATTTATGACAGACGTTTACTGATCAACAGAAAGCAAACAACAAATACTCCGTGACATTAACCCGTCCAGCTATGAGCCTCGTGAAGTCTCACAGTAGCTTAAAATATGTATGTATGTATCTACTGCACATTGTTTTAGAATAATTGGGACTATTTGATGTGAATAGTTACAAAAAAGAGTAATAGGTACCACACTGTGAAAACACTCCACTGCAATAAAAGTCCTGCAAATAAAAAACCTGACTGAAGTAAAATATGTTTCAACAAAATGTGCTTTAAATAAAAGTCAGTATGTTTCCTGGTCTATGTGATGTTTGTGGGTTATAAGTGCTGAGGTGTGATACTTTAACTGTACATCTGTATTATACATAAACTAACAGTAGTTTCACTGTGCAGATCCTGAAGATCCTGGAATCAGTGGGCTGTTGCATTGTGGGTCAGACGGAGATGTTGGTTCCTGCAGATCGGGTCCTGTACGCCCTGCGGGACGCCACCAGCACCGTGGACAGCCTACCACTAATTACTGGTAATAAACCAGTTTAACTGACATTATATAAACCAGGGCTGCTCGATCATGGCAGAAATTATGATTGTGATTATTTTGGCCAATATTGAAATCACAATCACTGGAAATCAATTTTTTTTGTAGTTTTCATAATTGTTTGAAGCCAAAATCATAACTGAAAATAAACTTTGATAATCGCCCAGACCTAATATCCACTTGTATAAACTACTGAATCAGCTGTGTTGTCAGCTGACATACTGACATATTAAAATGTGAGTTTGTTGTTTGAGGCTCCATCATCTCAAAGAAAGGAGCCGAGAGTCTGAAAGCTCTGGTGCTGGATGTGAAGTTTGGACAAGCTGCTCTGTATAAAGACCTGGCCAGTGCTAAAGAACTCGCACAGTTAATGGTAAGTACATTATGAGTATTAATCATACTAAGATTTACTAACCTCTTGCACTCCACCCCCATTTTGTAGCAATAATGCCTAAAATGACATACCCAAATTAAAATGTCTGTAGCTTCTGAACCACTCTGACTACATGCATGCATGAGGTCTTGCCAGAAAGAAAACTCCCTGAAGTTTCTTGTGAAAGTGTCAGAAACACTCTAGGTGATACAGAGACAGAGTAATGGGCCTCTGAAGTCAGTAAAAAGTTGAAGATTTTGCCTAAAATAAAATAAAAAATGTGTTTAAGGATGAATAACTGTCTGTGGCTTCATCTGAGCAGGTAAATGACACTGTGGGGCTGTAGGCACACTATCAATGAACACTTGTTTCAAATTTGAAGAAGACTGCTCAAAGTATGACCATTCTACAGTGTTTTTTCCATGAAAAGATCCAGGCGGAGCTCCAAATGACAAGTCTGTCACTCGGCTTCAAAACAGTACTATCAGTGATCAAACAACACTCAGCCAGCTTCAAACATTGTACCTTATTGAAATCAGGTGTGATTATGATAGCTGATGTTGTTTATGACACAGAAACACCATAAAATATCACCAAATAAAGCCATATGAAACGTGAAAGTTATGATCCCACTTTCTAGACGGTGTATCTCAGCCAAAAATAGTGGTAGGAGTGAGACTCTTACCTTTTATAAACCAGCTAAGTCCCCGCTAACAGCTCCACATAAGATCACGACTAATCCTTTAACTTTTCTCATTGAAAAACGGCATGACATGACTTGTCACCTTGTTATTTAATGCCATGTTTCAACATGAAGGAACCACAAAAAGACTTAATACAATTTAAAGAGACTGAGCCGAAGGAAGCAACTCCAGTGATGAATAATAAAAACAAGGTTTGTTCCTGTTAACAGGCTCCATGGTTCAGATATGAAGCCACAGAATATCGAGCCAGTCACCATCATATCGTCATACATGACTAAATAAAATAAAAAATAAAATAAAGCTCGTTTCGTTTCTAAATAACTGGTAGATATCTTCTGTTTCACTCTGAGGAGACCAAAAGAAAATCTTTAACATGTATATGTACTGCTAATGAAGATGATGATATTGTACCACAGTAGCCAGAACTATAACTATATTATTACTTTCATTAATGTTGTTGTCTCTCTCTCTCTCTCTCTGTCTCATTGTGTCATTTGGATTACTGTTAATTTATTATGCTGATCTGTTCTGTACGACATCTATTGCACGTCTGTCCGTCCTGGAAGAGGGATCCCTCCTCAGTTGCTCTTCCTGAGGTTTCTACCGTTTTTTTTCCCCGTTAAAGGGGTTTTTTTTGGGGAGTTTTTCCTTATCCGCTGTGAGGGTCTTAAGGACAGAGGGATGTCGTATGCTGTAAAGCCCTGTGAGGCAAATTGTGATTTGTGATATTGGGCTTTATAAATAAAATTGATTGATTGATTGATGATGGTGATGACGGTGTGGTGTTATTTCAGGTGAGCGCAGGAAACGGTCTGGGCATACAGACGGCTGCGGCCCTCTCCTGTATGGACGGTACGATTGGTCGATGTGTGGGAAACAGTGTGGAGGTGATCGAGTCTCTGGAGACACTTAAGGGGAGAGGACCTGACGACCTGATGGAGCTCGTCACTGCTCTGGGTAACGACTTTAATTTGTTCCCTGAAGTCACGACTTAGATTTTAGAGCTACAGGAGCATTTTGTTAGTGTTCACACGCAGGAACACGAGATGTTTAAAGTTTCAGAAAGCATCAAATAACAACCTGATACATCTCCAGCTGTGAGGGCAGTGTGGGCGTTTGGATTAGATGCAAAAAAAAAACCCTGGATGCTACAGCAAAGTCTTGTTTGGTAGGTTGCTGTGGCAACACACAGACACGGCACACCATGTGAGGGTCAAAAAACTACAGGTAGATTCTGATTTAAAACAAAACTAGAATTACCGCCCTGTGGTTGTATGACTCCGCCCACCAGTCCAGTGTCTCTGACAGTCTCCATCCATGTCAGTGAAAACATGGATGCTTCACACACAGAAGATCTATACAATCAGCACAGTGTCAAGATTAGAGTCACCAATTCAGTATCTGACCAAATGTCTCCCCTTCTGTTCCTGAGATATGACGTTAACACATGATGATGTCACAGTCAAGCTGACCTTTGACCTTTTGACCTTCATTATTTTATCCTGTTAGACATTTGTGTGGAGTTTTGGTTAGTGTCTGAATTCTTGAGTTATGGCTGAAAACATGTTTCGTGAGGTCACACTGACCTTTGACCTTCGACCATAAAATTTCTAACCAGTTCATTCTTAAAATGAAGTGGACGTTTGTGCCAAATTTGAGAATCTTCCCTTAACGCCTTCTTCAGATACTGCGTTCCCAACAATGAGATAGATGCATGGTCAAAGTAACCTTTGATCACAGTAATCAGTTCATTATTGAGTCCGAGCGGATGTTTGAGGAAATCCCCTCCAGGCGTTCTTGAGATATTGTGTTCACAAGAACAGGATGAGAACCCAAAACCCCTGACGCCTCCAGCCACGGCTATGCCCGGCACAGAAGCATAAAATAAATAAATATAACATCCATCCTACCATCTTGTCCTGGAGTCCAAGGTGATGTCTTCATATGTCGTGTTTTGTTTCATCAACAGTCTGAAACACAAAGAGATCCAAGTTTAATTAAACATCAGACAAAAAAAGGAAGAAAATCATCACAACTGAGAAACTGGAATCAGTTCAACCTCAAGATTATTTTCTTAATTGGTTGTTTTGGGGTGTAAATGTCAGAAAAATGTCCCAGAAGGCCAGGGTGAGGTCCAACATGTCTTCTTTGGTCAAACTGACCCAATCCCCCAAACACAGGGTTGGAAGTTAACATATTTGTCCACCTGCCTCTGTGGCTGGATCCCAAAATCTACCAGCCTCACAATACATCACCATTATTTATCTTGGCTGCTGAGTGAAGCTGATCTGGCAGCTACCTGCATATTTTTCCAGGACTTGGCTGTTGGTTGGTGATAATTTCAACCCTGTCAAAGATATTCTGTTTCCTGTGATACGAGACAACGAGGAGCAAAAATTCACACATTTAATGATTTGGCATCAGTTTGTCACTGATTTAAATATCTAACTAACTGATCATCAAATCAGTCACAGATTAATTTACTGTCCACTAATGTAAACAATGTGAATTTGTTTACTGAGCTCTATACTGTGAACTGACTTTCATATTTCAATCTAAACACCTGTTTGGTTTCTATGAGTTCTTCAGAGATTTGAGATCAGGCTGCATATCATATTATAAAACACTAGTCCATACCCATTTTGTACAGCATACCATACCATGACTTAGTCATACCAAACATTAGAAAACAACACCAACATTGGTCCACAGGGGGAGCCACAGCGATCGGTCGCATTTTAGCCATTTTGAAGCATTTTTCTGTTGTTATAGCGCCACCCAGTTGCCAATTAGAGTTAAATTTCTCCAGTCACCTTGAGGCGTCCTGTTCTACATATCTACCAAGTTTAGTAAAAATCCATATGGCGGTTAGGCCTAGATAAGAAATGAGCTCTCTAGCGCCCCCATTTTGTTTGATGGGGTCAATAATGGAGGGGTCCCCTCAGATTATGTGTGGTCATATGCCTACAAAGTTGCTTGGTGATGGGTGAAACCCTTGAGATGTTATACACCTTTATGTGATGAGCCACGCCCTCCGCAATATTCATTGCCTTATAGAAGCTCAGTTTTAGTAAGTTTTCCAACTTTTGCCAAGAGGGAACTTTAGATATTGGTCCCTAGATTATGTTCACCCAGTTTCATGCAGATCGCTCAAACTTCCTAGGAAGAGATCCATTTGAAGTGTTTTTCAAAAAATTCAAAATGGCGGAAAATCTATATAAGCGGAAGTTATGGGTTCTTGAGGCAAATGTGTTCCTCATGAGGAGAGGCATCTCTGTGCAAAGTTTCATGTCTCTACCACATACGGGGCATGAGATATGCCCATTCAAAGTTTGACATTTCAATGGGTTGCTATAGCGCCCCCCTTTGGCCAATTGATGTAATATTGCTTCATTGGCATCCTCCCATGACCCTCTACCACTGTGCCAAATTTCACATGGATTGACCAAGTCAGTGAGGAGAAAAACGTGGAACACACACACACACACTCAGGCAGAACATAACAATTATTTTCATTACTGGTTAATCTGACAACTGTTTGATTGTTAATTATTCTTTTAACGTGTACAATGTCAGAAAATACATTAAAATGTCATAATCTCCTGAAGTCCAAGCTGACTTATTTGTCTTGTCTGACAATGAGTCAAAACGTCAAAAAAGACAGCACATCCTGTCTTATCTGGCAATTATGCTTCAAAACAATTAAAATGATTAACTGATAATTAAAAGCAGATACTTTTGTAATCGGCTCATCGTCTAATTAGAGCTGCAATAATTAGTCAATTAGTTGAATGACAGGAAATTATTCTGTAACTATTTTCATAACCAATTAATAATTCAGCCAAAGTTATTTTAAAAGATGTCAAAACATCCAACACTGCAGCTCCTGTCATGTGTACATGTTCTATCATTTTATTTTTCAAATGATTAAAAATGTACCTACTTATGTAATTACTTAAATAATAAGCAGATTAATCACTAAAGGAAACAATGGTTAATTGAAACCATAAAATAGTTGTCGATTCAGGTGTAGGTGTTCGATATAGCAGCTAGCACTAAAAGCTAAAGTTAGCATAAACGTTTAACATTAATCTTTGTATTTAATTCCGGTACAAACCAACGGACAGCAACAGTAAAAGGACAAAACTCAATGACAGTGACTGTTATTGATTAATGTTGGTAAACAACACCGTGTGATAATTTAACTGTTGTTTGTTTTGTCTAATAGCTACATAGCGAGTTGTCTAGCTTAGGAAGCTAACGTTAGCTAACCCCATCAGTAGCCTACCTGTCTGGAGCCTGAAGCTAACTCCGCTGCACCAGACTCCATTCACATTTCACACAATTTAACACAAGTGTGTCAGGGAACACCGTGAGGAGTTCATGAAACCTGGGAAAGTGGACAACTTCCAGCGCAAACGGAGCCGGTGGCTAGTTCAAAGGACCTGGGAATTTTTTTCTGGGGCTAACAGCCTCAGTTCATATTCACACATCATGACAACAACCTGAGCAGTTAAATTATGAACCAAACAATCCAGGTTTTTACATCAACATTTAATTACCATTGTGACTTTTAATTCAACCCCTTAAACTTTATTCAAGAGAACGATATTCTGGGGAGGTTGATAAGAATACATAAACATACTGTACAACAAAAACATAAATTTAAATACATTGAAATACTGTACAAAAATCCTTACAAGTAAATGGTAAATACACAAATGATAATAAGCAGCGCCAACCTATAAATGCAGCAAAGCCATATGAATTATATTTGTAATAAATTAAAAAATATTTATAAAAAAAAAAATAAGTATAGGCCCTCCATTAACAATAAGGAAGAATAATTATATCCATGTAAACACTGGCATCAAACATTTAAGGTTTATTTCTGTGAAATTCGGTCGTGGGACTCTGATGCTGGCCAAAAAAAGAACAAAAATAAATAAACAAAAAAGAAATAAAATGAAATAAAATAAAATTAGATTAAAAATTAAAATAAATTTAATGAAATCAAATTAACAAATAAATAAAGGACTGATGCTGGCCAAAAAAAATAGAATACAATGAAATAAAATAAATGAAAAATAAATACATAAATAAATAAATAAATAAATAAATAAATAAGGACTCTGATGCTGGTCAAAAAAAGAACAAAAATAAATAAACAAAAAATAAATAAAATGAAATAAAATAAAATTAGATTAAAAATTAAAATAAATTTAATTAAATGAAATTAACAAATAAATAAAGGACTCTGATCTTGGCTAGGAATGGACCAAAAACATCTCATTTCTTTGTTGTAGCTTAACTGGAAAAATGTAGTCGGAGAAAAACTATTTGTTAATGAAAGCTGACTTATAAAAATACTATTGTTTTGTTTAAATGTACCAGAAAAATAACCTGTGTTATTTGTTGTTGTGTGTGTAGGCGGCCTGTTGCTGAAGATGACCGGTTTGGCCTCTGACCTCCCAGAGGGCAAACGGCAGATTTCTGAGGCTGTGATTGGTGGAGCTGCTCTGTCTAAGTTCCAGGCCATGATGGAGGCTCAGGGCGTGGCCAGTGAGACAGCTCGGTCACTGTGCTCCACCCACACTGATTACTACAGTGTCCTGAGGAAGTCGAAGCATCAGATTGAACTGAAGACACCCACAGAGGGTAAACAAACAAACAAAAACAACATGAATACACAAACCCACCCGCACAGATTTTTGTATGTTGCAGAGGAGCTTTTATTTTGAAAGGTTTCGTCATTATTAGTGAAGTAACTTTAACCTCTGAGGCCATTTATTACATTTCTATAATATTTCATGTTAACACATTTATATTTATTGCTAAAGCTGCAGCAACATCAAAGTAAATATATGACATGTTTATTTATGTGTGCAGTATATTTATTTACCTATTTTACTTATATTTATTTATTTATTTATTTATATTTGCACACTTATCTGTTAAGTTATTTACACTTATAATTTAGTATTTATTAACAAACATATATATATTTACTCATACATCTATGTGTTTAGTAACTGATATTTTTACCCATGCACTTACAGTACAGGCCAAAAGTTTGGACACACCTTCTCATTCAATGCGTTTTCTTTATTTTCATGACTATTTACATTGTAGATTCTCACTGAAGGCATCAAAACTATGAATGAACACATGTGGAGTTATGTACTTAACAAAAAAAGGTGAAATAACTGAAAACATGTTTTATATTCTAGTTTCTTCAAAATAGCCACCCTTTGCTCTGATTACTGCTTTGCACACTCTTGGCATTCTCTCCATGAGCTTCAAGAGGTAGTCACCTGAAATGGTTTCCACTTCACAGGTGTGCCTTATCAGGGTTAATTAGTGGAATTTCTTGCTTTATCAATGGGGTTGGGACCATCAGTTGTGTTGTGCAGAAGTCAGGTTAATACACAGCCGACAGCCCTATTGGACAACTGTTAAAATTCATATTATGGCAAGAACCAATCAGCTAACTAAAGAAAAACGAGTGGCCATCATTACTTTAAGAAATGAAGGTCAGTCAGTCCGGAAAATTGCAAAAACTTTAAATGTGTCCCCAAGTGGAGTCGCAAAAACCATCAAGCGCTACAACGAAACTGGCACACATGAGGACCGACCCAGGAAAGGAAGACCAAGAGTCACCTCTGCTTCTGAGGATAAGTTCATCCGAGTCACCAGCCTCAGAAATCGCAAGTTAACAGCAGCTCAGATCAGAGACCAGATGAATGCCACACAGAGTTCTAGCAGCAGACCCATCTCTAGAACAACTGTTAAGAGGAGACTGCGCCAATCAGGCCTTCATGGTCAAATAGCTGCTAGGAAACCACTGCTAAGGAGAGGCAACAAGCAGAAGAGATTTGTTTGGGCCAAGAAACACAAGGAATGGACATTAGACCAGTGGAAATCTGTGCTTTGGTCTGATGAGTCCAAATTTGAGATCTTTGGTTCCAACCGCCGTGTCTTTGTGAGACGCAGAAAAGGTGAACGGATGGATTCCACATGCCTGGTTCCCACTGTGAAGCATGGAGGAGGAGGTGTGATGGTGTGGGGGTGTTTTGCTGGTGACACTGTTGGGGATTTATTCAAAATTGAAGGCACACTGAACCAGCATGGCTACCACAGCATCCTGCAGCGACATGCCATCCCATCCGGTTTGCGTTTAGTTGGACGATCATTTATTTTTCAACAGGACAATGACCCCAAACACACCTCCAGGCTGTGTAAGGGCTATTTGACCAAGAAGGAGAGTGATGGAGTGCTGCGGCAGATGACCTGGCCTCCACAGTCACCGGACCTGAACCCAATCGAGATGGTTTGGGGTGAGCTGGACCGCAGAGTGAAGGCAAAGGGGCCAACAAGTGCTAAACACCTCTGGGAACTCCTTCAAGACTGTTGGAAAACCATTTCAGGTGACTACCTCTTGAAGCTCATGGAGAGAATGCCAAGAGTGTGCAAAGCAGTAATCAGAGCAAAGGGTGGCTATTTTGAAGAAACTAGAATATAAAACATGTTTTCAGTTATTTCACCTTTTTTTGTTAAGTACATAACTCCACATGTGTTCATTCATAGTTTTGATGCCTTCAGTGAGAATCTACAATGTAAATAGTCATGAAAATAAAGAAAACGCATTGAATGAGAAGGTGTGTCCAAACTTTTGGCCTGTACTGTATATATTTATGTACTTATATCTTTACACACATATTTTCTTTTAGTTTAAACATATTTTTTTCTAATGTACTTATATATTGATTTACTTGCTTTTTCACTTACTTGCGTACTTACATATGTTCTTACTTACATTTTTATTTACTTATGCACTGATATTATTTACATATTTATATATTTACTAAAATACTTTTACTTTAGAACTTATATATTTAATTACTCACATTTTTACTTATTTTACAAACATATATTTTTACTAATGTATTTATTCACTTATTAGCATTATTACTTACTCATGTCTTTACTAATGTTTTATTTTCATACTTACACATTTGTTTTTGTAACTTGTGCACTTATATATTTAATAACATATAAATAATCTATATTTACTTACCGACAATGGTATTGGAAAAATCAATGCAAAGAATTATAAAAGTTACAACCATAAGTTATAAAACTTCATCTGGATGTATTTAATCATTTTCCTGTAAGAACATGTGACATTAATAAACCCTAAAAAACGGATTACTCAGATCGTTAACATTGATCAGATTTAATGTGACACAGCACACCTGAACACATCTCTCTGTGTGATGTCATGCAGGTGTCGTGGTCGATGTCGACGGTATGACGTTGGCTCAGGTGCTTCATAAGTTGGGGGCGGGCCGATCAAACGCCGGAGAACCTATCAATCACAGCGTGGGGGTGGAGCTACTGGTGTCACTGGAGCAGAAGGTCGAGAAAGGTGAGAGGCAGATGATGATGGTGATGATGATGATGATGATGATGGTGATGATGATGATGATGGTGATGATGATGATGATGATGGTGGTGATGATGATGATGATGATGGTGATGTTTGATCTGTGTGTATTTCCAGGCGTCCCCTGGCTGCGGCTCCATTATGAGGATCCGTCCCCGACCCCAGACCAGATGAGTCGCCTGCAGAGCGCTCTGACTCTGGGAGCTCAGGGACACAAAGTCAAACAGAGCTTAGTCAGAGAAATACTGCTGCCTCAGTAATTCATGTTTACACCATCATCACGTGACTGACCATTTAAGAAGCCCCGCCCTCCTCTGTTACTGTGGCTAACCCGTCAGTTCTGATTATCAATCTGTTTGTTGTGTATAACATGAGCAGAACATATAAAAATGAATGAATAAATAAATGAAGGAGTCAGAGTTGTTTCTTCGTGTATTTGTTGTGTAAAGGTGAAGTGATGCAGCAGTGTGGCCAGCAGGGGGCGTCAAAAACACACATTGAAAGTCATGATGAGGTGAAGAACCCAGGGCCCTCTGCACCAGGAGGAACCCAATTAAACATCAGTACTCCTTCCACCTCCGTAAATAACAAAGAAACAGGTTTTGTCAAAATGTGAGAAATGAAACTTTATTTAAACAATCTCAATCTGCCACAAACTGACCGAAGCATAAAAAGTTCATCTAACTACTCTATCAGCTCTTTATTCATTTAAAAAAAACACAAACAGAGGAACGTCGGGGCAGGAGTCTGTTAGCGGACGAAGGTTCACTGAGTCCTCCGGGAACATTTTTTAATTTAACTTCAGTCCATGTTGCAGATTCGAGGTCTCAGCTGGTCCAGACCACTCAGTGAACCTTCATCAGTAAACAGGCTCCTGCAACACATATACACACAGCTGAGTCATGCTGTCATCTGTCGCCGTGGAGACAGAGTGAGGGGAGGTCAGAGGTCAGTGGACGACGGAGTTGAGCGGCTCGGCTCTGATGTTTCCTAAATCCAGGGTGGAGTCTGTTTCCTCGTCGATCTCCCCGATCACGGCCCTGAAACACATGGAGAGTAATCATTAGTTAATAGTTCAAACTGAGCTCCGACTCCCGACAGTCAGTCTGTTTCCATGACGACAGAGAAAATGGATTTATTGTGTCGGACTTTTAAAGTACACATAAACATGTTAGTGCGACTTAAACCGGACTTTCAAAATACACGTAAACATGTTAGTGC